CATGTATGTTGATACACATATAACAGCCAGCCACTCTACATGTTGTGCCTTCTACATTGGCTGCCTGTGTCCTCCCTCCCAGCCTGTCCCATAGGCCACTTATATTGCCAGCACCTGCCACCTCCTCTGTTCCAAGAAAGTTGGCTTGACCCTTGGAAGTCCTTTCCATCTCCTCATCTCTTCTTGTAAAGGGTTCTGTTGGTCACAGGATCTAGGCTTATAGTCCTTGAGGGTGGGCCTGGGCCTTGCAGGACTCATAGCAACTTAGCAAGCTGGGCTGTGCTGGATGAGGTTTGGGCCACTGCAGTGAGTGACCCTTTTGGGTTCACCTTGACTTGACTCCTGGCTTCCACAGCTCCATGGGGAGCTTGGTGGTCACTAGAGCCCCCACCCAACCACGACTTTATGTTGAGGATTCACTGTCCCCTTGCCAGCTGGCCTAGGTGCCAGCTCCATGCAGGGTACAAGAGCTTCCCTCATTAGCCTGTGGGTCAGCTCCTCTGTGCAGACACCTCCAGTGTTACCAGATATGGAGTGTTAGGACAGCTGTTGGGTGAAGGAAGGAGGGAGGGGGGGAGGGATGATGCACTTGTGTGCATTCAAAAGCGACCATCGAAGAAGAGCAGGCAGGAGCCACAGGGGAAGGGGTCTGGGGACTTCGAGCTGACTGATCATCTACAGTGCGTTTTCTCCTGGACTGGCAGCTTCCTGTGTGATTTCATTTAACTCTCACTGCAACCCCGGGCAGAAGGTGGTTAAGTTGGGCTCCCAGAAGCCAACTTGGAGAGGAGGATTTATGTGAAAATGATTTATTAAGAAGCAGTCCCAGGAGAATTAAAACAAGAAACAGAGCTGAAAATGGGGACACAGAACCAAGAAGTAAAGGAAGCCAAGAGAGGTCACTTTGGCTCCATTCTGCAGAGGGATTCCGGAAATCACTGAGATCACATGAGAAGACCCACGCAAGGAGCAAGTCTGCTGGGATCTGTCTCTAGGCACCCCTAGTCCTGGATAGGAGTGTAAATTCCGGCCCCTCTGAGTGCCAAGGGCTCAGGCAGCCAGAGTCTTGGGTGTTGGCGGTTTGGAGTGAACATGTGGGGAGTCCCTGGAATCAGACATGCACAGGATGGGGGGAGGGGGGACATGGGCAGAGCGTGCAGCCTGGCTGGTACTTAGACACAAGGGGGCATAGAAATGGCTCAGAGAGGTAAAGTAGGTTACCCAGGGCCCCTCAGCTAAACCTCCAAACTGAGTTTGCTGGTTGGGGGAAGACTCACCCTATCCTAGTGCAGACATGGCTGGGAGAGTAAGGGAGAGGATGCACTTAGAATGGCAGTCAGCAGAGCTGGGGGAACCCTGTCCCCTGGGCTGCAGCATTAGGCCCTTCCATGGGCACCTCAGAGGGAGGCCTGTGGGTTCTCTGGAAGCCCACAGTAGCTGCTCCTTCCTGGCACCTTTGCCAGCCTCTGTGGGAGCCCCATCCTCTGGAAAAAGACTGCAGCCAAGCCTCTTTATCTCCATGTGGGGAAAAGAGGATTAACAAATTAGCTCCTGCTTAATTGGTGAGGGAAAGTAGGACAGGGAAGTTGGCCAGTCATCCTGCAGGGTTTTCTGATCAATTCCTTCTGCTAATATCTTCCCGGTGTGAGTCTGACACCTGGCGGGAAGACTCCTTAGGGGAGCTGAGCTCCCACCTGCACCCTGGGATCTCCCCACTATTGGCTTAAATTGTCCATAGGGCTGGCTCCAGCAGGGACAAGCAGAGGCCCCCTCACTTGTGCAGGTGTATCTATACCTTCTGATGCAAGAGGTACCCCGTCTGGAGCTGGGATCCTGGCTACCAGGGCTAAGAGGCAGGGTTGGAGCTTGGATACAACACCAGGTCCCAGGAGCATCATTGTTCCCAGGCGATGAGGATCCTGAGCCTTGGAGCCTGGGGTCTGAAGTTTTAGAAGGCCCCTAGGAGGTTGTTCATACAGCCAGACTTGAGAGCCATGATGTGGATGTTGACGCATGAGGAGGCTTATCCCTCACCGTGATCATCCTCTTTGTTGATATGTGAAAGCTGACACAGCTCAGGCACTTCCTGTGATGGGACCCCATGACTCTGAGGCCACCTGTTTCCTTTTGAACTCCTTGGAAAATCAGTAGGTTCTCACAGATACTGAACTGATTGTCCTCCCTGGCTATTGGAGCCATGGGTTTTAAATCTATTGTCAGAGGCTGTAAAGAGAAACAGTCTCTTGCACAGGACAGTTCTCCATGTGTTTAAAGACACCTTCACTGTCCTGGGCTTTAAGCAGCCTTGCTCACTTTAACTGGTCATTGGCTTACAGTGCCCCAGCCGATGACTAGGCCACATTGAGTGGTGCCTCCCATCAAGTAGGGTGACTCAGTTGACCAACACCCATGGGCAGAACAGACCCCTCACCCCCTGCCTTTCTGAGGGTCTTTGGTGTTTACCAGGGGTGTTACTTTCCAATCTCTTTCCCCACGTGCCTTTCTGGTGCTGAATTCAGCTTTGTGAAGCTGCCACTGTTGAGATTCAGCTCAAGTTCTAGGTTTTTGAGACATCAGGCCTCCTTCTGTGGCTCTGTCTCACAGGCAAATCAAATGAGCAAATCATCGGCCTCTCTGGGTGAGCATGAAGGAACTGCAGACAGGTTGGGAGTCCAGGGGAGCCAGGGCCCAGCAATGGGCTCAGAGTATTTCTAGATTTCTTCCTCCTCTATATCTTCACAGGGGCCTCTGGGTTCTGGCGACATCACTGATGTCTTTGTGTTCAGAGGTGAGAGGCTCTGGGCAGGGCGGCCTGTACTCCATCCTGAGTCTCCCTTTCTACCAGCTCTTGGGTCTGTGGGGCTTCCCTGGTTGACTGAGCTTGTCCATCGGGGGAAAGTGTCTCAGGCCTTGGCCCATGGAGTGCACAGACCTCCTGGGATCTCTGGTGCCCCCTATCTTTGGAGTGTGAGAATGGCACTGAGTCTCCTGAAGGTGGGCAGGAGGCAGCAGCCAGGTCTGTTTGATTGATATCACCGGCAGTTGAGGATTCGTGAGTGGTGGTTGTGAAGAAAAGGGGATGAGGGGCTTGTGGGGCCAGAAAGACTCCCAGGATCCAAACTGGAGTATGAGCAAGTGGGGAAATGAGGCTGGACCCTACATGCAGGACAGGGGTGACTCCCTTCCTGTCTCTGCTACCTGGAAATGCTTGTGATATGATGGATGCCATTCTCCATGTCTGCTTCTTTTTGAAACTGGCGACTTTCATACCTTGGCAGTCAGGAGGGGCAGGTGTCATTTCCATTTTACAGGCGACCAGAATGAACAAATGACAGGGAAGTGGAGGTCACCCCCTTCCAGTCCTGCCTTGGTTTGTATTCTCAGGGCCTGATGTCTTCTCATTCACGGGTAGAGAGCAGAAAGTTTATCCTTCAGCCCCAGCAGGCCCAGGGAAGTCTCTGTGCCTACTCTTGGTGTCCTCGGGGTGCTGTCTGTACAGGGTTGTGGGGCTGGTGCTCACCTGGGCTGTCCACACCCTCTACCTTCCTGGCCTCACTGCCCTCACCATTGGGCATGCTCACTGCCATGGAGTGAGGTCCTACACTGCCCTATACAGGGTCTGGGAGGGCCTGTGACTTCACTGGGCCACACGTGGGCAAGGTTGCTGGTGCAGGCTCTGCTCCCTGTATGCCTCATTTGTTAGGTAAGAGTCAGACTCTCAATACTGACCAGAAAATGCATTCTTAAAACATCAGTAAGTCAAATGTGAGAATGTTAACCTGATATGCCATCCCTGACCTGCTTTTAAGGAAGACACCTGTTTGATATGCATGTGTAAACAGGCACTTACAGTTGTGATGTAGAAGATTTTGGAAGAGGACACTCCAAAAACTTAGGGGGGATGATTGTGGAGGGACCAAAAGGAGATTTTTGTTACATTAGCACATTCTTTTAAAGTGCTGATACATTATGAAATGATTTTGAGCATTTTTATTTTTCAAATCAAAAGAGAAACAAAAATTACATTATAAGATGCAAAATAAGAATATATAAATAAAGGTGGACTGCCATCTGAAAGCTCTCTTCCGAGTTCATAGATGGCCTGGCGTGGTGCCTGGCCCTCCATGAGCACTTTCCACTGCTTACTCTGAGTGTTCTTACGGGGCCTGCTGGAAAACCATCAGTCCCTTTCCGTTCTTTCGGTCTGTCAGCTTTTCACTTCAAGGAGGGAAAAGCACTCATGAATACACACAAGAATCAAAATGAGTAACAGGGTGTGTCTGCCTTTGCCTCCCACTTCATTCATGTATTCAGCAGTGTTAATTGAATACCTGCTATTTACTGGTGATAGTGTGACATTTGGGGACCCAGCTATGACCTAAGAGATGTGGGTCTTGACCTTCTGGAGCCCCCAACCTCACAGAGAAGACAGATGAGTAATGAACTGCTAAACATCCGAACAAAAAGGGGCGAACGCTGTAATAAATAGAGCCCAGCACAGTGAGACAGAACAGGGTGAGCTGCTCCCTGGGAGCTGGGAAGACTCAGGACATGGGCAGCTCCAAGCCACAGCTCAGACACTTTCCCGTGTCACTCAGCACAGCTGGACGAGCTGCCATAAATCCAGCGTTTCAGTTTCATGATTTTGTATCCTTGGGCACTGATGAGCAGTGTTCCCAAGTGCTCCTGCAGAAAGGGATTTTCAGGGATTTTCAGGGAGGTTGGCTGCCCACACTGGCCTCGCAGTGCCCACAGGAGCAGCTCCTCTCACCTTGCTCCAGGCTGTGCTAGAGAACCGGAAGAACGTGGGGATCAGATGTCTGTGTTCAGTGGAGGCCTCTCGAGGCTGAGGCAGCTGGAGCAGGCCTCAGGGGGATGGCGTGTTTGGTGAGGAAACAATCCTACAAGAGCAGTGTTCATAAACCTTATCTCAGCAATCACCCTGAGGGTCTGCCAGCTCCAGCCTGCTTCCGTTCATGTGGCTTCTTTTCTCTCTGCAGGCCGTGGAGACCAACCTGGCTTCCAAGGACAGCCACTGGGTCTTTGTGAATGAGGTAAGAGCCCCCGAATGGGGAGGGCTGGGCTGGTACTGAGCCTGAGTCCCAACCCTTGGGAAAGCTCAGAGCTGTCCTCTGCTCTCCGGTTCACCTGGGCCTCCATCCTGCTAAGGCAACAGGTCAGAGAGTTGGGCTTCACCTCCCAAGACACTTACCTGGAGCAGATGGGAAGGAGCGGGTAATCCAGACTTGAGTTCACAAGAATGTCAAGCCAGCAGAGTGTGCAGGGTATGGGAGGTGAGGGGGAAGGTGGGGCAGCCAGTCAGGCCGAGGCAGGTTAGAAAGGGAGGTGGGGTGGAAGCCTCATTTCATACCAGATGTTGGGGATGTGTGGGAGACATATGTGAGCATGTGTGAGTGTAAGCAGGAGTGTGTGAGTGTGTGCATGAGTATGTGTGAGGTCATGAATGTGTAAGGATAAAGTGTACACTTGTGAGAGTGTGTGAGTGTGCCTTGTGAGTATGGGTACTTGTGTGTGAGGTGTATGTACATGTAAGTGTGTATGTATTATGTGTATGCATGTGAGTTGTCTGTGTGTGAGTTGTAGGTGCATGTGAATGTGTGTATGTGAGTGCATATGTGTGAATATATGTGATGAACATGTGTTGTATATGCTTGTAGTGTATAGATATATGTGTGAGCCACATGTGCCTGTAGATGCACACGTGTGTATGCCTGGCTGAATGTATGTGCAGACACATGTATGTATTTGAATGTGCATATTGTCAGTTGCATGAATGTGTGACTGTGCATGTGCCTGCATGTATGTGAGTACACACATGTCAGTTGGATGTTCATGCATGTGAGTGTGCGTGTGTGTGCATGTGAGGGTATAGATGTATGCATGAGTATGCATGAATGAGTTGCATGTGTCTGAGAATGTTATATGCACGTGTGAATGTGTATGAATGCATATGCATGTATTTGAGTGTGTACATGTGCCAGTGGTATTGAATGTGAGTGTGCATGTGTTCAAGTTGCATGTGTCTGTGTGAGAATGCTATATGCACGTGTGTATGTGAGTGTACATGTATGTATTTGAGTGTGTATGTATGCACGAGTTGTATTGAAGGTGAGTGTGCATGTGTCTGTGTGAGAATGTCATAGGCACATTTGTATATGTGAGTGAGTGTATATGTGAGTATGCATGTGTGAGTGTGTCTGTGTGCTAGCCATTGTGAGTGGGGTCACTGCACCCATTTGACAGGATGAGAAAGAAGTGCATCCAAGACCAGCCATCCACTGGTTTGGCTCCAGGGTACTTGGAGCCCTCAGTGTCATCGGCTAGGTCTGGTATTCTTCATGGACCTTCTGTCTCTGGCCTCCCCACACAGCTGGCACTGCCCAGGAGTGGCCTGTACCCACATGCCCCTGCTTTCATGTCCTCTCAGAGGCTGCGAGCCCAGGCAGCCTGAGATCCCAGTGTGGCATTAACTGGTGTGGACTGGAGGAGAATGTGTTTCCTAGCGCTGCTTCCATTAGGGCTGTGGCCCCCAGCAGCTCCTGAATTAGCTGATCGACTAATGGCTTCATGCTGGAGGGTACAGGGCTTATTATGTGGGTAATTTCCTCTTTTGTGATGTGTGTTTCTTCATGAGCTCAGGGCTAACATGGCTGAGACAGTCTTGGGTGCTGATGTTAATACAGGTAAGGTTGTATCACCCAGTGACTGCATGTGAGAGCCACATTTCATGGTGTCCCCCACAGATTCCCATCTTGTCAGCTCCGTGTCTGCCTGGGCCGGGTGGAGACATGCGCAGTGGCCGCCCTGTCTCTGGGGTGCAGATGGTGGCACTGGTAATTAGATGAGGGGATGTGACCCCTCCCTCCCCACTCTTCAGAGCCTGAGCCAGGCCTCCTTGATCCTGGAGAAGTTTTGATTCTCTGTGCTTTGCCAGCTTCTCTGCAGGGCCTTCAAAGACCACTGTGCTTTGTTCCAGAGCAAAGCATCATTCCACGGGCCATGGAAGTCCGATGTCCAGTGCTGGTTTCACTTTTGATGACTCTTCCACATTGAATAGCCCTTGTTTCTGTGGTCAGTCTTCAAAACTGTGCTTTATCTCCACATTTCTAAACTGTTTCCCTTCTTACCCCTGAATCCCTGCCACCCTCACCCCTCCCCTCCGGGCCTCTGATTCTCCCTCCTTGCTCCTTCTCCAGGGTGAGTTTGATCCAGACACCCCAATGTGAGGATCTTCCTCAACACACCCTACTCATAAGCACACTGGCATTTTGGGGGCAGCTGGAACCCAGGGCTCAGTGTCGGCAGGAGGAGACACGTGGGGGGACGCCTGCCAGGTACCCTGGAGCAGCCACACCCAAAAGCCCAAGATCAGCACTGCACTGCACCAAGATCAGCAGCGCACCCTGGGCCAGCCAGCCTGCAAGGATCCTGGGCTAGAGGGGGTCACCATGTACCTCTGTTTGTCTCCTTTCTTGGCTTCTGTCTCCACTGGGGGCTTTTTCTCTTGAGGGGCAAAGAGTGACCCCTAACATTTCTTTACTAGTTATGACACACCAGACACTTGTCAGTGCCCTGTGTGCTTGAGATCTTCCTTAGTCCTCATCAACACCCTGGAGGGCAGTTATTATCACCCCCATTTTACAGATGGGAAAATGGAGGACTCAGAGGACATGCAGCTTTTCTGTGGTGGTTGTGTTATTCTTTATGAAGCCTAGGGCTGCAAAGCCCCATTCACCAAATGGCACCACAATGCACATGGCTTGGCAAGGATTGTGACGTCATGGTCAGGGTCTGATTCTGCAAAACCAGGCAGTGGGGCTCAGGTGTGTGCTGTGATGGAGACACTTTTCAGCTGGCCTTTAGTGACAGCATGTGGGGGTTCTGAAGCCTGTGATGTGAAGGTAGAGATGCTGGTACAGCTTCGACACATGGACCCCAGCACAATCTCCGGCAAATCATGGAAATGTTCTCTGAATTCAGTAGGCTTATGCTTAGGAGCCAGCCACAGCCTGACGTCCAGTTTCCTATTCTAGCATAGCCTCGTGGAAAACAAAAACCCTGGTATTCTTTTATGCAGTGCTACATCATTTTAAGCTCTGCAGATTTTTAAAGCTATCCAAATATAGACCCACAGACAAAAAATTGTTGGTCGACTCTGTGTGTCATATGTAATGACTTGGAATAAAATAAAGGGGGGGGGGAAAGCTAAAGGGCAGGCATTGAACGGTGGGTCGCCATTCAACATCATCTCCAGAATTTGGCTGCTGCATGGGGTCCCCATCTTTTTACTTCATGAGACTACTCCCCGCTTTCCTGGAAGAAGTCTAGGCCCTCAGATGAGCTCAGATCTGTGCCTTCTCTCCTATCCACCACGCTTGTCTTTTGGGATTCCAGCATGGCCCTCCAGCTGGGCCCCCTGCTCTCCTCATTCCTTACCATCGCTGTCTTCTTGTCCCTTTGCTCTGTTTGACTTGCTGAATGTATTTTCCTGGATTCAGGATAAACACTCAAGGGCACATGTTTTTGTTTGCTTTCATTATGCACTGGTTTTCTTAATGTGTGCACCTCTTCAACCGTGAGCATTGGTGTCGAATATTATAGAGCCGCTTTATTTGGAGAAGAGATAATTGGATGCAGGGGAAGTCTTTGGAGCCCATGAGCCTCACTGGCCATTTCTACAAATCTTTGGGCTCCACTGGCGAGTAGATGTGTTTTCAGGTCTGCACTATATCTTCATTAACTGATGAAGTTATAAGTTACTTTGGAATTGGGTGGGGGCTTCCAAAGAACTTTTGGAAAATAAAATGAGCCATTAGTCAAGGTGGCCACGAGACTGTGAGTCTTTTGAGGCATGGGTAACTGTAGCACCTTGCTAAATCTTCAATGCTCCATGCAAATGATAGATTCTTAAAAGGTGTGGTTGAAGGCTGGTCGATGTACATAGCATGTAGGAAATTGCATCGATGAGCATTTCACAGTTTGGCTCAGAGGAAAGACAAAAGCAGCAATTAAGAGCTGAGCCTGTGATGGAGAGGACCACCCCAGGTCATCCATCAGAAGCTGCCTGTTTGAGGCCTGTTGACTCTGGATGAGGAGGTTTATTTCCAGAACCTCCCATTGGCTGGGTAAGGAGCTTCCTCTCTACATGGCCTGCAGCAGATCTCAGTTACTCTGGCTTCTCAAATGCCTCATGGACACCTTTCATGCTAGCTGGATTCTTTTTTTTTTTGGTACCAGGGATTGAACTCGGGTCCTTCCATTTGTGAGGCAGGAAGCAGAACCACTGAGCTAAATCTTCGGCCCCTGGATTCTTGATAAAGAGACAGTGGCCTCCCTCCAAGCTCTGCATGCAAGCTGGAGACATGCACCCCCTAGTCTGGCCTCTTGAGAACTTTCTGCAGGAAATTCTTTTGTGGAATACACAGTGTTCTTACTCTCAGCCTCTTGAAAGACCAGCTGTGATGCGACCTGAGTTGCTCTGTCTGTTGCTGGCGTCTCCCATTTTTAGATGAATCCTTCCACACATCAAGCCACAGCACACTTTGATGGAAATTGTTTAGAATGCATAACAAGCAATGCAGAAGCACAAGCTAACCTTTGATGCGCAACAAATGAGACTGTGAGGAGGGGGCTTCACAGAAGGGAAGGGACACAGTTGGCACCCTCAGCACCCCTCCCCATTGCCAGCATGCATCAGTGACCACACTTCCTGTGCCCATTGCCCTTGAGATCCAGAGATCCAACTGGAAGCCCCACCTTCACCTCAAGCTCAGTGTTCCTCTCTCCATACTCACTGACCTGCCACCAGTCTGGTTCTTCCTTGGTATTCCTGATCTCAAAGACCACTGTTCCCACCCTTCTGGTTGACCTCAGCTCATAGGGAAAAGCCCATATCATGCAGCCTGCCCCACCCGGTCCAGGATGACCCTACCACATCTTTGCATCCTTAGTTACTTGTTACCATTCTGCACACTATCTCATGGCTCATCCCTGCAGGTAGATGGGGGACTTAAGGTTATTTTAACTTCCTAGC